CTCCAACAGTGAAGCGTAATGTACGAAAGATTGAGAAAATTCGTGTTAGAATTATTAATCTTACTTTTTCGGTCATATTTAATAATATATATATATATATATATATATATATATATATATATATATATATATATATATATATATATATATATATATATATATATATATATCGTACCTATACTTGGTACCCTCACAAACTTTTATATATATATATATATATATATATATATATATATATATATATATATATATAAATATATATATATATTAGTATATTTTGGTAGCAGTCTTTCCTGTAGACATATATTATTAAATATGACCGAAAAAGTAAGATTAATAATTCTAACACGAATTTTCTCAATCTTTCGTACATTTTTTTTCACTGTTGGAGGTAAATCATAAATCAATTCTCCAAAATTCATTTTTATTTCTAGTCTGACGTGACACGAGCGCGTTTCGTAAAACTTATTACATTTTCAAAGACTTTAGTTTACAAATACACAACTGAATAGAACTTACGCATCTCCGATTTTGTTTTTATATCTACATTTGAGAGAGGTGGATGGGGTGAGGTGGCATTAATAGGGTATTAATTTCATCAACACAAGACAGAACAAGAGATGGCATTAATAGGGTATTAATTTCATCAACACAAGGCAGAACACGAAACAATGGGTATTGAATAGAAGTGATTGTAGAAAGCCTATTGGTCCATATTTCTTGATGCTTCAATATTGGAGCGGAGTCTTGAGGTGGGTAGAATATAGTTGTGCATTAATTGGCTGTTGATTGCTGGTGTTGACTTCTTGATGTGTAGTGCCTCGCAAACGTCAAGCCGCCTGCTATTGCTGTATCTATCGATGATTTCTGTGTTGTTTACTAGGATTTCTCTGGCGATGGTTTGGTTGTGGGAAGAGATTATATGTTCCTTAATGGAGCCCTGTTGCTACCATTAGCCAGATACCCACACCCACGTACAGACTGGCGAAGCGACTCAACGGCCTGCTGACTCCTTATGTTCCTTGCGCCTTCAGCCTGAAGTCTCCAAAGGAATTTGTTGACTTACTGCAGGGCGCACGGGCCACAGGGATAAGAGCCTCGTTGGACGTAGAATCGCTGTTTACCAACGTACCTGTGGACGAGACAATCGGGATGATAGCCGACAGAGTGTATCGGGATCCAGCCTGTACTCCTCTTGACATACCAGAAAATATTCTGAGGAAACTACTCCAAGCTTCTACTAAAGAGGCACCCTTCTTAAGCCCGGATGGGCACATGTATAAGCAAGTAGATGGGGTCGCCATGGGTTCTCCCCTAGGTGTCATGGTTTGCAAACTTCTACATGGGTACCATCGAGCAAAAAGTCTTAGTCGACATGAACTTGAAACCGGCCATATACTGCAGGTATGTTGACGACATTTTTACACAGGTACCTGATGTCAGACATCTGCAGGAGCTGAAGGAGGCATTTGAGCAGAGTTCCGTGCTGCGTTTCACTTACGAGATGGAAAAGGATGGGAAGCTGCCCTTTCTAGATGTAACAGTCATGGAAAAGAGCGGAGGTTTCCACACTGCAGTCTACACTAAGGAAACGAACATAGGAATGTGCCTAAATGCCAACAGCGACTGCCCAGACAGGTACAAGAGGAGTGTTGTTAACGCATATGTCGACCGTGCTCTCAGCCACAGCTCAGAATGGAAGCAAGTCTTTGATCATTATAGCAACCGGGCTCCATTAAGGAACATATAATCTCTTCCCACAACCAAACCATCGCCAGAGAAATCCTAGTAAACAACACAGAAATCATCGATAGATACAGCGATAGCAGGCGGCTTGACGTTTGCGAGGCACTACACATCAAGAAGTCAACACCAGCAATCAACAGCCAATTAATGCACAACTATATTCTACCCACCTCAAGACTCCGCTCCAATATTGAAGCATCAAGAAATATGGACCAATAGGCTTTCTACAATCACTTCTATTCAATACCCATTGTTTCGTGTTCTGTCTTGTGTTGATGAAAAACAATTAAAAACAAAATTGAAAAACAATGAAAAAGTATAAAAACAAACTATACTCACGAAATGTATGGTATGGTTAACACCACAGCTCAATTCCAACGCAATGTCATGCAAAATAATTAAATCAAAATTAAAATAAATCGAAATGTATGAAAATTCTATTTGTCATTGCAATTGGAAACATTGAAATGGAATCGTAACATAGTTAGTATAGCGCATGTTGCTCCTTTGTGCAATAGATAGCGCTGTTTCTTAAAAAAAAATGTTTTTACCTGTCGCAGGTGTGGCATCTATTCTTACACATACGAAATGAACGGTATGGTAAACAACACAGCTCAATTCTAACGCAATGTCACACAAAATAATTAAATCAAAATGAAAAAATATCGAAATCTATGAAAATTAAATTTATCAATGAAATCGGAAACATTGAAATGTAATCATAACGTATTTAGTATAGTTTGTGAGTGTTGCTATTACGAGCAACAGATGGCGCCGTTTAAAAACAAACAAACATGTTTTTACCCGTCACAAGTGTGGCATCTATCTAGTAGGTATATAAAAAACATGCGCCTATTCGAATGGAACGTTGTGTCAAAATTTCAAAGCAATTCGTGAAGAACTTTCATAGATTATATCTGTGTTGCTCTTTCGTCCAACAGATGGCGCTGTTTTTTAAAAAAAAAAAAAACTTTTTTTTTCCTGTCACAGGTGAGGCATGTATACAGTAAGTATATAAAAACACGCGCCTATTCGAATGCAACGTTGTGTCAAAATTTCAAAGCAATCGGTAAAGAGGTTCCGAAGATTTCCTTTACATGAAAAACACTTGAAAAACACAGTTTAAAAAAAAAAACATGTTTTTCTTCCGACACAGACGTGACATCTAAATAATATGTATGAAAACCCACTCGGATGCGAATGAAACATTGTGTGATTTTCAAAATTTCAAAGCAATCGGTGATGAACTTTCGGAGATTAGCGATTTTGAACAAACGAACATTTACATTTACATTTATATATAAAAGGTGAATGTTGGTGGTTTTAGCACCACTTCTACGTGGTGCTAAATAATCCCCATCACACAGGATGATTAGTTATACAGAGGCATATGATAATTAGTTTGCACTGGCAGACTCTGCGTGCATTATGAGGATATCATCATGAACATAGGAGTGAATAAGGCAGCAGTGATACTGAAAGTCCCCATCTCGCAGGATGGTTAGTCATACAGGGCGGTATGTTCAGTTGCCTGCACTGGCAAATTTTGAGTGCAATATGAGGATATCTTCAAGAACACGAGAGTGAATAAAGTCATTGAAAAGCTCCAGGTACCTCATGCCAACTGGTCTGAATGGTCTAATAACTGGGCATTCGGTGATGTAGTGCGGGAGATCATGCCGCAGGTCTTGCTCAAAGAGTTTGCACCTGGAGTGCTCAGGATTGGGAGATCCGTCACTTGTAGCCACCCAACGGTAACCCAACCTGATCCTTGCAACCACTGTGTCGCACAGTCTGGTGGACGTTTTGTGCTGCTCATAAATATAGGTTTCAGATCTTGACAAATCATAGCTTTTTATACTGGTGCTTTCAGGTCGTTGGGAGTCAGTAATTTCTTTCCTATCAGACCTGAGTGTTTGGAACAATATAGTTTTGACAGCAGAGATGGGGATACCTAGATCTAATTCAACTTTAATCTTTGTTGCACGTTAATTTGGCTGCAATGTGTGTTTCATTATGATGGGTTATATTTATGTGTAATGGTATCCATACAAAGGAGATTCGAAACCCTTTTGCTCTGTGCAGCGATTAGGTCATTTATAATTGGTAGTATGAGGTTCTTCCTGTCGATACGCCAGGGATATAGACGTATCTGGCAGCTTTCTCAAAACCCAAATGTCGAGTACACAATGTGTCAACTTTGTGAAAGAGAAAACATGCACTCCCTTGAACATTATATTGTAGAATGTCCCATATTGACTGACTTTCGCCCTCCTGGGCTGAGGTATGTTGAACTGTAATTACTATTTGAATACTGGAACACTTGATGATATATTGGACTTGTACCCAATATTGACCATGTAATGTATCAATTATACAATGTATGTATGGTGATGTAACTATATAACCTGAGCTTGTAAAAGCACCTTAATCACCTTCAGTGGTTAAGTGCTTAATAACACACCACTAGTTTCTCTATCAGCTATCTTACCCTCAGAGTTGGAGAGCCATAAATGTATATATATATATATATATATATATATATATATATATATATATATATATATATATATATATATATATATATTAGTATATTTTGGTAGCAGTCTTTCCTGTAGACATATATTATTAAATATGACCGAAAAAGTAAGATTAATAATTCTAACACGAATTTTCTTTATCTTTCTTATGTTCCTTTTCACTGTTGATGGTAATTCAAAGATCAATTCTCCAAAATTCATTGTTATTTCTAGTCTGACGCGACACTTTGGTTTGGTTGGGTTTGTTGGAGGTTTGTTGGAATGGGTAATTAGGGTTTGGGTTGGGTAAAATGGGTTTGTTGGGTCTAGTAATTAGATATATAGGCCTAATACCTGGTATTCTGCCAACCATCCTGTTCCCTGTATTAGCCATCCCGGCCTCTTAACAAACTATCCCAGCCTCTCAGTCGACCATCTCTGAGTGTCAGTGAACTATCCCTGTCCCTCAGTAAACTCTGCCAGTCTCTCAACTAACCCTCCCAGCTTCATGCAGGAAGTAAATCACAATAACATAGTTGAATACACACAATTCAACCCACACATATGAAAGCGTGGGTTGAGTTATATGGGCCCCACCACGGACCCTCCACCACGGACCCAAACCCGTTGACTCCAGGACGGGCTTAGGTCCGTGGTGGTGCTGTAGGAAGGGGACCCATTCCATCCCTGCTCGGCGGTCACTAATGTTTGTGTGTGTGTCTCCTCCTCCGCAAGGCGGTGCTGGTGCAGGATGAAGCCGGCCATGTGGTACCTGATGATGTTGGTGGTTGGCTTCTTCTACATCTACCTCACCGCCATCCAGTACATCCGGGGACAGGTGGTGCACGACCCTCCGTCTAGCTACCAGCCACAGTACGACCCCCAGTACTACGACGAGAACCTCATCAAGTGAGTACTCCTGTGAGACAGGATATTCCGTCTGCCCTCCTGTGCCTGAGTACTCACCTTCTAACTTACCTTCACACTACACACACTCAACCACTTGGGCTGGACGGTAGAACGACGGTCTCGCTTCATGCAGGTCGGCGTTCCATCCCCGGCCGTTCAAGTGGTTGTGTACCATTCCTTCCCTCCGTCCCATTCCAATTCCTTATCCTGACCCCTTCCAAGTGTTATATAGTCGTAATGTCTTGGCGTTCTCCCCTGATAAATCTCTTCCCTTGAGACTACCCAGCGATGCAGCAACAGCCAGTCTCATAAATACACCTCACAATATAAACTGGGAATCTGAACTCAACAATACACTGAATATAAATTCATTAACTAACATCTTCCTTACTAAAACTCTGAGCCTCTGCAACACTCACTGTCCTCTCCTCACGAAGCAAGTAACTGCCACAAGATTATACAACCCCTGGCTCACAAGTGGCATACTCAATGCAATGAAATAACAAGCAACACGAATATGAAAAAAATATTTAGAATTGTCCTAGTTACAAAATAAATAGTTAAGAGATTTACTAGCATAATAAGAAGAGCCAAAGTTTCGTTTTATGAGAGTAGATTCAAAGAAGCAAATAAAACTTAGAAAGCCATTTCTAACATCCGAGGATCTAAACAAAAATCACATATCAAGCGGATAAACTCTCCAAGGATGGTTACACACTTGCAACAGACTTATAAACGGCAACTGTTGACCAGACCACACACTAGAAACTGAAGGGACGACGACGTTTCGGTCCGTCCTGGACCATTCTCAAGTCGATTCTCACAATCGACTTGAGAATGGTCCAGGACGGACCGAAACGTCGTCGTCCCTTCACTTTCTAGTGTGTGGTCTGGTCAACATACTTCAGCCACGTTATTGTGACTCATCGCCTGCAAACCGCAACGGAATTTAATAGCTTTTCATCAATTGGTGCTAACTTAGGCTAAAAAAATCCCAGAGACCCAGACACATGTTACTATATATCTCACAGGCAACTTTCCTAACTGTCTACGACGTTTACCAGTCACCCCGACACACATATATTATATTCATGATTCACTCACTTAAAACCAAGGCTGAGAACATTAGTGAAATACCACCTGAGGTATATAAGAGTGCTGCTTATGCCCTTGCACAATCCATAGCTCTGCTATTCATCTATAAAATATCATACTTTTCCTGATATCATTCAATAAACAAAAGTAACTCCAGTTCATAAACGAGGAGAGACAGTTGACATAAACAATTACAGGCCAATGCAAAATCTACCGATACTATCAAACATATTTTAAAAAATTATTTACAAATGGATCTACTCCTACCTTGTAAAATAAAACATATAAAATCCCTGCCAGTTTGGCTTCCGTTCCCAAAAGAGTACCAATGGTGCCATTATTAGTCTGGTATAATCTACAGAAAATCTACAGAATCCCAATTGGCCTCTTATTGATCTAAGAAAGGCCTTTGATACTATTAACCATAACTACTTCTTACTTAAACTCCATCATTATGGAATCCGTGGCCTTGCCCTGAACTATATCCGATCTTATCTTAGTGACAGACACCAATATGTGGCCATCAATGGTATAACCTCTCCCACTCTACCATTAACCGTAGGAGTGCCACAGGGCAGCATCCTAGGGCCTCTCCTATTTCTTATATACATCAATGATTTGCCAAATGTTTCTAACATTCTTAAACCTATACTATTTTCTGACGATATTACCCTCATCTACTCAGACCCTAACCCACACACACACTAAATACTATTGAAAATAGCGAAATAAAAGAGTCCTCTCATGGATGTCAACCAACAAACTCACACTAAACATAGAAAAGACCTACTTCATTCTATTTGGAAGTAAATCATCAAACCATCAAACCAAATTCAACTTCAGATAGACAATGTTAGCATTAGCAATAAAAATGAGGTTAAGGTCCTTGGCCTACACATAGACAAGGGACTAAACTTCAGCACCCACATACAACACATAGTCAAGAGTGTCTCAAAAATGGTCGGTATACTTTCTAAAATAAGATATGTTTCCCCACTTTACTCTTCACTCATTATACTACTCACTCACATATCCTTATGTTATATACGATATCTGTGTATAGGATTCAAACTACAAATCACCTCAAGCCCATCATCACCCAGGAGAAATCTACTATAACAAACTCTGCCTTCAGGCAACACACAGCCCCTCTGTTTAAGTCCCTTAACATGCTAAACATACACTCACTCCACATATTCTTATGTGATATTTACATGTACAACAACCAAGCCATTCTCCTGTTTAGATAGTAGTTTTGTAACTATGTGCACCATAGTGCAAAGATTGATGCTCTAAGCTGTTAGATAGTAGAATTTTGTACTATTCACTTTATAGTGTCAGAAAAAATGAAGCTAAAACACTAACTTAAATATTCCTAGGCCTAATATAGCACACATATGTACTATCTTCGGCCTCAGATATCGTGCATTAGGCCTAGGAAGGTTAGGTTAATTTAGTTTGGTTTGTCTTTGCAACATAAGTAGAAAATAGTTTTCCGGTTTGTCCAACTCAATAGTGCTGATTTCAACTTTCTAATTGTGTTGAATGTCGGTATATGTACTATGGTCCTCATCGTTACTATAAATACTTCCAAAATAGGAGGATGGGCTGACACAACCTTGTTCCTAAATGTTAATCCTCATCTGAAACTTTTCATTAATAGATATAACAGAACCCAAGAGCATCACACCAGAAATAAATATCTCTCTGATATCCCCCAGAGTCAGACTAAATCTGAACAAACCCTCTATGCAAATAAAATAACACAGTCTATGGAACTCACTCCCCAATGACTTAAAAAATCCAGGAGCTAGTGAAGTAGTGTCTTCTCTGTAATTGTTTGGCAGAAGATGCATGCCCACTCTCTGGGTTCAATAATTTCCCAGTTACATCTGTAACCTAGACGAAGTCTATATAAAACCGAACTGCTATATCCCCTCTCAGAGACACAAACCAGGGGCCAGATTCACGAAAGCACTTACGCAAGCATTTACAAACGTGTACATCTTTTCCCCTAATCTTTGACGGCTTTGGTTACGTTTATTAAACAGTTTACAAGCATGAAAACTTCCCATTCAACTGTTGCTATTGCTATAAACAGCCTCCTGGTGCTTTGGAGCTCATTAACTGTTTAATAATCGGAAACAAAGCCGCCAAAGATTGAGAAGAGATGTACAGGCTCGTAAGTGCTTTCGTGAATCTGGCCCCAGGATTTGACACAACTCCACCCATGCACCCGAGCTCTATCAATAAACTGTTCTACCTCTTCGTCCTTACTTCATTACACACAGAAATCACAATAGTGTGATGCGAAATTCGAATCCTCGTCACGGCCCTTGTGGATTTGTTCCCTGCATTAATCATTAGAGTTTCTTTAACATGAATTTCGGTATCTTGATTGTTTTTCTTAATCCCCAGACTAAGAAAATAAAGTGTAGAAAGCTTATACTATAAGATCAATAAAGCTAGTATATATATATATATATATATATATATATATATATATATATATATATATATATATATATATATATATATATATATATATATATATAACTGAAAACTCACACCCCAGAAGTGACTCGAACCCATACTCCCAGAAGCAACGCAACTGGTATGTACAAGATGCCTTAATCCACTTGACCATCACGACCGGACAAATGAGGTGATAGCCGAGGCTATTTGAACCACCCCACCGCCGGCACTCGGATAGTAATCTTGGGCATAGCATTTTACCAAATCACCTCATTCTTTGGGGCACACGTGAGGAACACAAATGCGAACAAGCCTGAATGGTCCCCAGGACAATATGCAACTGAAAACTCACACCCCAGAAGTGACTCGAACCCATACTCCCAGAAGCAACGCAACTGGTATGTACAAGACGCCTTAATCCACTTGACCATCACGACCGGATATTGTCCTGGGGACCATTCAGGCTTGTTCGCATTTGTGTTCCTCACGTGTGCCCCAAAGAATGAGGTGATTTGGTAAAATGCTATGCCCAAGATTACTATCCGAGTGCCGGCGGTGGGGTGGTTCAAATAGCCTCGGCTATCACCTCATTTGTCCGGTCGTGATGGTCAAGTGGATTAAGGCGTCTTGTACATACCAGTTGCGTTGCTTCTGGGAGTATGGGTTCGAGTCACTTCTGGGGTGTGAGTTTTCAGTTGCATATTGTCCTGGGGACCATTCAGGCTTGTTCGCATTTGTGTTCCTCACGTGTGCCCCAAAGAATGAGGTGATTTGGTAAAATGCTATGCCCAAGATTACTATCCGAGTGCCGGCGGTGGGGTGGTTCAAATAGCCTCGGCTATCACCTCATTTGTCCGGTCGTGATGGTCAAGTGGATTAAGGCGTCTTGTACATACCAGTTGCGTTGCTTCTGGGAGTATGGGTTCGAGTCACTTCTGGGGTGTGAGTTTTCAGTTGCATATTGTCCTGGGGACCATTCAGGCTTGTTCGCATTTGTGTTCCTCACGTGTGCCCCAAAGAATGAGGTGATTTGGTAAAATGCTATGCCCAAGATTACTATCCGAGTGCCGGCGGTGGGGTGGTTCAAATAGCCTCGGCTATCACCTCATTTGTCCGGTCGTGATGGTCAAGTGGATTAAGGCGTCTTGTACATACCAGTTGCGTTGCTTCTGGGAGTATGGGTTCGAGTCACTTCTGGGGTGTGAGTTTTCAGTTGCATATTGTCCTGGGGACCATTCAGGCTTGTTCGCATATATATATATATATATATATATATATATATATATATATATATATATATATATATATATATATATGTCGTACCTAGTAGCCAGAACGCACTTCTCAGCCTACTATGCAAGGCCCGATTTGCCTAATAAGCCAAGTTTTCCTGAATAAATACATTTTCTCTAATTTTTTTCTTATGAAATGATAAAGCTACCCATTTCATTATGTATGAAGTCAATTTTTTTTTATTTGAGTTAAAATTAACGTGGATATATGACCGAACCTAACCAACCCTACCTAACCTAACCTAACCTATCTTTATAGGTTAGGTTAGGTTAGGTAGCTGAAAAAGTTATGTTAGGTTAGGTTAGGTAGGTTAGGTAGTCGAAAACAATTAATTCATGAAAACTTGGCTTATTAGGCAAATCGGGCCTTGCATAGTAGGCTGACAAGTGCGTTCTGGCTACTAGGTACGACATATATATATATATATATATATATATATATATATATATATATATATATATATATATATATATATATATATATATATATATATATACACGGAGAGTGAGAAAGCAAGTAGTATTATACTATTATACTATTTGTATAGTATTTGAGTTTATAGGTTTATAAGGAGCAATAAGTATTTTGTTGGTTAAGTGACTTTATGACTGTTCTTGGTCGGTGGCGTGTGACTACAAGCTCTCACCCTCCACAGCCCCGCCAACGCCCTCGACTTCGAGTACCATGACTACGCCAAGATTACGGACTACCTACGCTCGATGAGCGCCACCTACCCGAACCTAACGGCACTCTACTCCATCGGCAAGACAGTCCAAGGTACGTACTCACCGAGTTGTGCTTGCTGGGGTTGAGCTCTAGCTCTTTGGGTCAGGTTGTGAGGCTGTAGTTGTGTTATCCTCCTACCAACCCCCCCCCCCCCCGCCATCTTCCCTTACCCTCCATTGGGACCCTATAAGGCTCCTAATGGTACAGTCGGGTTCGTTCTCGACTCACAATCAAGAATTCCGAGTTCGAATTCCGGACAGGACAGAAATGGTTGGGCACATTTCCTTTCACCTAATGCTACTGTTCAGTTAGCAGTGAGTAGGTACTCAGGAGTTAAGTCAGCTTGTTGTGAGGTTGCATCCTGGACGGGTTAGTAATTTGACCTTGGGGGGGGGGGAATCTTGATAAAAGCTTAACGTGTATGAATACACTCTGGCTTCCTGTCCCCCGACACAGTGAATTATTACATTATTTCCCCTTCCTTACCCCCTAAACTTTCCTTACCCACAACCCTTTCCTTACCCTTTATCGTCGTGTTCCCTCCCCATATCCTCTCATCCTTCCCGTTGCCTCATAAGGTCTCCTCGTGATGGTTCAACACGGCCGGCAGGGCAGTGGTGGCCACGTGTACGTAATGAGACCTCACCAAATGAATTCTCTTCACACTTGCACCAACATCACGCTTCCCGTCGCAGTTGTGGAGGCGGCCGCGTCCTCAGCTGTTGTGGAGACGGCCACGTCCTCGGCTGTTGTGGAGGCGGCCGCGTCTGGTTGATACCTGGTTGATACCTGGTTGATGGGGTTCTGGGAGTTCTTCTACTCCCCAAGCCCGGCCCGAGGCCAGGCTCGACTTGTGAGAGTTTGGTCCACCAGGCTGTTGCTTGGAGCGGCCCGCAGGCCCACATACCCACCACAGCCCGGTTGGTCCGGCACTCCTTGGAGGAATAAATCTAGTTTCCTCTTGAAAATGTCCACGGTTGTTCCGGCAATATTTCTTATGCTTGCTGGGAGGACGTTGAACAACCGCGGACCTCTGATGTTTATACAGTGTTCTCTGATTGTGCCTATGGCACCTCTGCTCTTCATTGGTTCTATTCTCCATTTTCTTCCATGTCGTTCACTCCAGTACGTTGTTATTTTACTGTGTAGATTTGGTACTTGGCCCTCCAGTATCTTCCAGGTGTATATTATTTGATATCTCTCTCGTCTTCTTTCTAGTGAGTACATTTGGAGGGCTCTGAGACGATCCCAATAATTTAGGTACTTTATTGCATCTATGCGTGCCGTATATGTTCTCTGTATTCCCTCTATTTCAGCAATCTCTCCTGCTCTGAAGGGGGAAGTGAGTACTGAGCAGTACTCAAGACGGGACAACACAAGTGACTTGAAGAGTACAACCATTGTGATGGGATCCCTGGATTTGAAAGTTCTCGTAATCCATCCTATCATTTTTCTGGCTGTCGCAATATTTGCTTGGTTATGCTCCTTAAACGTTAGGTCGACAGACATTATTATTCCCAAATCCTTTACATGCTGTTTTCCTACTATTGGTACATTTGATTGTGTTTTGTACTCTGTATTATGTTTAAGGTCCTCATTTTTACCGTACCTGAGTACCTGGAATTTATCACTGTTAAACATCATGTTATTTTCTGATGCCCAGTCGAAAACTTTGTTAATATCAGCTTGAAGTTTTTCAATGTCCTCAGCCGAGGTAATTTTCATACTGATTTTTGTGTCATCTGCAAAGGATGATACGAAGCTGTGACTTGTATTTTTGTCTATATCTGATATGAGAATAAGGAAAAGCAGCGGTGCAAGGACTGTACCCTGAGGTACAGAGCTTTTCACTGCACTTGGACTAGATTTTATATGGTTGACCGTTACTCGCTGAGTCCTGTTTGACAGAAAACTGAGTATCCAGCGTCCTACTTTACCGGTTATTCCCATTGACTTCATTTTGTGTGCTATCACGCCATGGTCACATTTATCGAAAGCCTTTGCGAAGTCCGTGTATATCACATCAGCATTCTGTTTTTCTTCTAATGCCTCAGTGACTTTGTCGTAGTGTTCAAGTAGCTGTGAGAGGCACGATCTTCCCGCTCGAAATCCATGTTGGCCTGGGTTGTGAAGGTCATTGGTCTCCATGAAATTGGTGACCTGACTCCTAATCACTCTCTCAAATACTTTTATGATGTGCGATGTTAGTGCAACTGGTCTATAATTCTTTGCCAATGCTTTGCTCCCTCCCTTGTGTAGAGGGGCTATGTCTGCTACTTTAAGTGCATCTGGTATCTCCCCCGTGTCCAAGCTCTTCCTCCACACTATACTGAGTGCCTGTGCTACCGGCACTTTGCATTTCTTTATAAATATTGAATTCCATGAGTCTGGACCTGGGGCCGAGTGCATGGGCATGTTTTCAATTTCTTTTTCAAAATTTAGGGTGCTCGTGTTTATATCAGTTATATTTACAGGGGTTTGAATATCCCGCATAAAGAAATTGTCTGGATCTTCCACCTTCATGTTGTTTATTGAAGTGCTAAACATGTCCTCGTCAGGATGGAAAAACCTACATATTGATCCAAATCGACACTCACCTTTCCTAAGCATATTTAAACATTTTTTGGGATGTTGGTAACTGCATTCTAATCCTTTCTTATTACCAGCATATCTATGTCTATGTTCAAAGCTCACACGTGGTCGCCGCGTCCTGAGCTGTTGTGGAGGCGGCCGCGTCCTGAGCTGTTGTGGAGGCGGCCGCGTCCTCAACTGTTGTGGAGGCGGCCGCGTCCTCAACTGTTGTGGAGGCGGCCGCGTCCTCAACTGTTGTGGAGGCGGCCGCGTCCTGAGCTATTGTGGAGGCGGCCGCGTCCTCAACTGTTGTGGAGGCGCCGCGTCCTCAACTGTTGTGGAGGCGGCCGCGTCCTCAACTGTTGTGGAGGCGGCCGCGTCCTCAACTGTTGTGGAGGCGCCGCGTCCTCAACTGTTGTGGAGGCGGCCGCGTCCTGAGCTATTGTGGAGGCGGCCACGTCCTCAGCTGTTGTGGAGGCGGCCACGTCCTCAGCTGTTGTGGAGGCGGCCACGTCCTCAGCTGTTGTGGAGGCGGCCACGTCCTCAGCTGTTGTGGAGGCGGCCACGTCCCCAGATCTTGTGGCTCGATCTAAATGTCTTCGATTTTGGTGTATTTCCCCATAATGTATCTTAAATACTCAGGGGCAGATCAATGCATGTAAGTCAACCTGGATCCCACCCGCAGCCTGTGTGCACAGTGAACCCGTCCTCTTACACACCTCCATATACTGTGCTATATGGTAGGGGGTGACCCTGGTCGACTGTCTTGCTGGTGTTCCCGCCCCCCTCCCTGTGTGAGGTCGCTGGTGTTCACGCCCCCCTCCCTGTGTGAGGTCGCTGGTGTTCACGCCCCCCCTCCCTGTGTGAGGTCGCTGGTGTTCACGTCCCCCTCCCTGTGTGAGGTCGCTGGTGTTCACGCCCCCCTCCCTGTGTGAGGTCGCTGGTGTTCACGTCCCCGTCCCTGTGTGAGGTCGCTGGTGTTCACGCCCCCGTCCCTCTGTGAGGTCGCTGGTGTTCCCGCCCCCCTCCCTGTGTGAGGTCGCTGGTGTTCCCTCCCTGTGTGAGGTCGCTGGTGTTCACGCCCCCCTCCCTGTGTGAGGTCGCTGGTGTTCACGCCCCCCTCCCTGTGTGAGGTCGCTGGTGTTCACGCCCCCCTCCCTGTGTGAGGTCGCTGGTGTTCACGCCCCCCTCCCTGTGTGAGGTCGCTGGTGTTCCCGCCCCCCTCCCTGTGTGAGGTCGCTGGTGTTCACGCCCCCCTCCCTGTGTGAGGTCGCTGGTGTTCCCGCCCCCCTCCCTGTGTGAGGTCGCTGGTGTTCCCGCCCCCCTCCCTGTGTGAGGTCGCTGGTGTTCACGCCCCCCTCCCTGTGTGAGGTCGCTGGTGTTCACGCCCCCCTCCCTGTGTGAGGTCGCTGGTGTTCCCTCCCTGTGTGAGGTCGCTGGTGTTCCCGCCCCCCTCCCTGTGTGAGGTCGCTGGTGTTCACGCCCCCCTCCCTGTGTGAGGTCGCTGGTGTTCACGCCCCCCTCCCTGTGTGAGGTCGCTGGTGTTCACGCCCCCCTCCCTGTGTGAGGTCGCTGGTGTTCCCTCCCTGTGTGAGGTCGCTGGTGTTCACGCCCCCCTCCCTGTGTGAGGTCGCTGGTGTTCACGCCCCCCTCCCTGTGTGAGGTCGCTGGTGTTCACGCCCCCCTCCCTGTGTGAGGTCGCTGGTGTTCACGCCCCCCTCCCTGTGTGAGGTCGCTGGTGTTCACGCCCCCCTCCCTGTGTGAGGTCGCTGGTGTTCACGCCCCCCTCCCTGTGTGAGGTCGCTGGTGTTCACGCCCCCCTCCCTGTGTGAGGTCGCTGGTGTTCACGCCCCCCTCCCTGTGTGAGGTCGCTGGTGTTCCCTCCCTGTGTGAGGTCGCTGGTGTTCACGCCCCCCTCCCTGTGTGAGGTCGCTGGTGTTCCCTCCCTGTGTGAGGTCGCTGGTGTTCACGCCCCCCTCCCTGTGTGAGGTCACTGGTGTTCACGCCCCCCTCCCTGTGTGAGGTCGCTGGTGTTCCCTCCCTGTGTGAGGTCGCTGGTGTTCACGCCCCCCTCCCTGTGTGAGGTCGCTGGTGTTCCCTCCCTGTGTGAGGTCGCTGGTGTTCACGCCTCCCTCCCTGTGTGAGGTCGCTGGTGTTCACGCCCCCCTCCCTGTGTGAGGTCGCTGGTGTTCACGCCCCCCTCCCTGTGTGAGGTCGCTGGTGTTCCCTCCCTGTGTGAGGTCGCTGGTGTTCACGCCCCCCTCCCTGTGTGAGGTCGCTGGTGTTCACGCCCCCCTCCCTGTGTGAGGTCGCTGGTGTTCACGCCCCCCTCCCTGTGTGAGGTCGCTGGTGTTCCCGCCCCCCCTCCCTGTGTGAGGTCGACCAAGGCCTTACAGGTTACGCGACTCATGACGAGTCTAATGTTTGGACTAGACACAACTCATGGCGGCGTGGTCTCACCGAGCTCCTTATTGCATCTCAGAAATTTATAGTTGTGCTTGAGGGGGGTTGAGCTTCGGCTCTTTGGTTCCGCCTCTCAACTGACAATCAACAGGTGCACAGGTTCCTGAGCCTACCGGGCTCTATCATATCTACATTTAAAACTGTGTATGGAGTTTGACTCCACTACACCACTTCCTAATGCATTCTATTTATTAACTACTCTGACACTAAAAAAATTATTGCTAATGTTGTATGGCTCAATTGGGCACTCAATTTCCACCTGTGTCCCCTAGTGCGTGCCCCTTGTGTTAAATAAAATATTGTTATCTACCCCATCAATTCCTTTGAGAATCTTGTATTTGGTGATCATGTCCTGCCTAACTCTCCTGTCTTCCAGCGACGTGAGGTTTAATTAAAGTCTTTCTTCATAGCTCATACCCCTCAGTTCGGCCACTAATCTGGTGGCAAATCTCTGAACCTTCTCCAATTTAGTTTTATGCTTAACGAGATATAGAATCCATGCAGGACTGCATACTCCCAAGATTGGTCTGACATACGTGGTATACAAGGGTCTAAATGATTCCTAACGCAAGTTTCTAAAGGCCGTTCTTATGTTGACCAACCTGGTAAATGCCATTGATGTTATCCTCTTGATGTGGGCTTTGCGGGATAGGTCTGGGTGATATCAACCCCCAGATCTTTCTCTCTCTCTTATTCTAGAAGAATTTAATTTCCCAGATGATACCTTGTATCTGGTCTCCT